GAAACATAGGAGAGTCAAGATGTAACGCCATGGGGTAGGAAGCCCGGAAACTTCTCCGGTAAGAGACATACTTAGATTAACAATTATGGGGTAATTACTTAAATCAGAGCTAGCCAGTAAGAAACAAGCAAAGGTCAACAGCTTTATAATTAATATAGTCTCCTGTGTTTTTATTTGGGACTGATGCGGCTCTAGAACCAGGCTGGCGGGAAGGTTTCTCTCAAAGAAAAAGCTTCCTTAACATGGTTGTTGCTTTTGGTTTTGTTGTTGTTGTTTGTTTTCTTTTTTTATTTTAAGGCAGGGTTTCTCTGTGTAACAGCTCTGGCTGTCCTAGAACTTGCTCTGTAGACCAGGCTGGCCAGGAACTCACATAGATCCATCTGCCTCTGTTTCCTTAATGCTGGGATTAAAGGCGTGAGCCGCTACCTCACAGCATGTTCTCTCCTTTTTTACAGCTATCATCCATCCCCACCATCCCATACCCCCTCTTCCCTGTTAAGATGGAACATTAGAGATGGGGCAATACCAAGAAAACACAAGCTTCCTTCACTAAGACACCATGACTTGCAAGAGTGCCCCAGACTTGTGAACCAAACTCAAAATAACCACAAATATCCACTCAAATAAACAGTGCTACACCAACCCTGTCAGCGTTTTATTTAGGTATTATAAACTATTCCCCAAACCACAGACTGAAAAGAATCTTTCCTATTGATCACATGTCCTCCAGGACCTGAGAAGCTGTGTGAATGACAATGAGACGGACCACTACACTCTGAATTCTGGTTAGCTGGAAAAGCTCTGGTTGGATTCTTTTCCAAAGGTCCTGAAGCTAAAACAGTTCTCATCTGTTGGTCTGGATGACTCCATAGTGAAAAACCTAGCTGACCCTAGACCTAGCCGAGGACTCATTTCTCAGTGCGTAAGCAGATGACACTGTACTTACTCAGAGGAGTGCTTTGGAGGCCACAGCTTCCTGTTCATAAATGCTCTGGGCAAAAAGCACTGACTCAAGCCAGGCAAGGTAGCTCGTGACTGTAATCCCAAAGATTGTAAAACAGAGAATCACAAACTCAAGGCTAGCCTGGGCTAGAGAAGTCCCTGTCAAAAGTCAAAACAGGGTAGCAATTCCAGAGCAGCCACCTGGCTCTTAGTGTAGTGGGAACCAATCCTGTGGTGCTGAGTCAGAATACCATCAATACTGTTTGAATGTGTTCTGTGGCTTCTCCATCATTGCTGCCCCTTACCACTGCAGTCCTTTCCCAAGCTCTTTTAAAAATTCCTTTTGAAGGTTATAAGACTCAATGGGTAAAGGATGACAAACCCCAGTCTGATCCCCAGAACCTACATAGTGAGAGGACCAACTCTTGAAAACTGACCTTTGACCTACACACACACACACACACACACACACACACACACACACACACACTAACGAACTTAAATCCATTTTGTGTGCATGCATCTTCTTCCAGTGTAAGAAATCAGGATAAATACGTTGCTTCAATTTCCCATTGAAGCGCTTACTTTACAGAGATTTCCTCCAGTGCAGTCGTACATGAGGAGTTTAGGATGTGAACTCTGACCCTGGTATTATGCATCCTGGAGTATACACTAACATTCAGTTCACCCTCCAGTTTTTCCTACAGAAATCTGTGAATTGACAAAAGCCAAACTTCAGGAACAAGTGCCTCAGCTGTCCTGTTAGAGTGGCACATGTGTCCCCTGGACTGTCTCACTTTCTCTTTACAAACAGCATTCCTGAGATATTGATGTGTCCTGCTATGCCAGCAGCAGCGGGTGACCCCTCTGAGGCTGACTCGTGGCCTACATGTTTCAGTGTGTGGGTGGCAGTGGTCCCACCCATTAGCAGCTGCCTAAATTGCATCAGCTGGCAGTAAATGGGGTAAAAGAGCAACTAGCCTACCCTGTACTGGACACTGACTTCTTGCCAGCCACACTTTGAGGCTTTCTATCCTCCCCTAGGTTACCCCACAGTTTTAATTTTTCCCCTAAGTTCATGGGAGCTTGGAGTTTGCTTCCATGAACTGGATCTTGACCTGATTCTAATCGCAGGCAGGAAGGCCTTCTTCCTTACCTTTCTCCTTCCATCTCGCTTACAAAGGAATAGTGTGTCTAAGAAAGGCCAAGGCACTGCCACACACATGCTTAACAACACAAACTGAAGCGAACCCCGAAGGGCTGATCTGAATTGCAGGATTTGGCTTCTGCCTCTGCTTCAACTCTGAGCGGGGGCCAGCAGGTGGAGGAAGAGCCAGGAGACACTGGCTGAGAGAAGGAAAATGTCTTCTCACTCCCATTTCAATATCCAGCAGTGGGTACCCATAGCTGTGTTTTCATGGAGGGCTGGGAGCCATGTCTCGCCCAATGGCAGCAACCCTCCGTCTGGGCTGCTGTTACCCCGCTTGTTCCTGGTTGTCAGCTATACTGTTGAGCCTGTTCCTTTTAGTTTAACAGGGCCTGGCCTACAAGAAACAAATATTCTTAGCAGGGAAAAGCAGGCAAATCTCTCCAAAGCGTTTTTGTTTGTGGATTTGCTTTACAGCACTGGGAGGAAACCTAGGCCTCACAGGCCCTTTCTCTTTTGAGATCCAGTCTCACCAAGTTTTTCAGGCTGCCTTGAACTCATTCTGTAGCCCAGAGAATTCTAAATACTTTTGGGCTTCCTGCCTCAACCTTCCTAGTTTCTGGGATTTATAGGCCTGACCAGGCTAAGAATTCCGAAGTTTTGGGTTGTTGGAGAATATAACCATGGCTCACAGAAATTCAACTTCACAATCTAAAGTTCCTATTGTCTCCTGGAAGTAGTCAGCCCATGTTCAGATCTTGGGAGGGACCTCAACTATTCTAAGCCATCCAAAGTTAAATATCACATCTACAAGACATCAAAATAGATAATAAAACAAGGGAAATCTGGCAATCAGGCAGTTTTAAGTATTATAGAGATCAATTTATATTAACTTTGAATTGAAAATAGTTTATCCACAATTGTATTCTAATTATCATTTTTTAAAAAAGTACAAAAATCAGAACAGTGAATGTCTTTTCCTTAATAAACTTTCCACATACAAATGACATGATTACAGACATGATTTATCTTCCCAAGGAAAACACCAGCTAAAGTAAAACACTGTCTCTTCTTGAATATTGTATATTAAGCATGATTTTTATTACTGAAAACATTTATTGGGAGAAATGCATGATGACCAAAAGTGACCAATACATTTGTGGTAGCTGAGAGGGAAAGGCTAATTGTGATTTCTAGCCAGAAGCCTATTCTAAAAGAAGACCAATTTAGCTATAATTATTCCTCTGAATAATACAGGAAACTGGTAACAATTTCAAACAACCTCCTTTTTCCAGTCTTTTTTTTTTAATGATGTAGAACAATTGCTGGCCTAATGAAGGGACTCAGTAAATAAATTATATATCCCTTTTTTTGCTGATGATTCTAAGAGAGGGAGTTTCCATCCTAGCATTGCTGTTCCGAAATGAAACTCCCACAGACCCCACAATCTGAACATTACCGTTAGACTGAGAAAATGGTTGTGATGAACCAAACTCTGTGTTTACACTTCACCTTTATCCCCTTAAGCACACAGGCCCATACCATAAGCTGTCAAAATTAACTTTACCTCCCCAGCAACCTTCTCCCATTCCTAGGGAAGAACAGCGGGTGCTTATTCCAGCAAAGATGCAAGGCAGTTATGGAGTTTCTGCAGTAAACTGCTTTTTCTCCAGCCCCCACTCCCCTACCCTGTTTGTTTCTATAAAACTTCTAAGTAGTCAAACAACCACAAAAGTGATAGGAAACTTTCTCTATTCTCTATCAAATCTCCCAAACACTCCATGCTGATAGACTGGGGGTGGACATGGGCTAAAGGTAAAAAATGAAGTGTCAGCATTAATCAACTTTAATGGCCTCTTAAAAAAAACAAGAGGAAAAGGAAGAAAGGCTATCAACCCTTGAGGCTGTATGGCTTCACTTCCAGCTTCACCCTGCCTGGAGGCCCTCCCTGCCCTTCGTTGTGTCCAGTAAATAGATGACATCCTGCCTTGTGGTGGAAGTATCACCTCAACAGACTTTAGTGCTGACTTCTGGGAAGGTCTGAAGGTTATAGGCACCATAGATTATGCATTCTCTCTTATGCCAGACCCATAAAAGTACTTTTGGTCTCCATAAAAGATACAGCTGGCTTTTGTTTCTTAAGGGCCAACACTGAAACACTTCCCTTATGATTATTATCACCATGCTAGAGAAAAGTGCCCCCACGGTCAGAATGGGTGGCAACTGTGAACACATGGTAAAATTACGGTTCACTGTTTACATTTTCAGACAGTAAAACATACCAGATTAGCGTGCTGAGCCCTATCAACCTAAGAGGCTGGGCTATCCCCTTCTGACTCTGCTCCAGGGTGTGGAAGGGAGCAGAAACCAGAGTCAGCATACCCTGGATGCCCGGGGGCCCTGTGCTGAGCAGGCTCTAAGGGCTTTGCTGCTCTCAGCCTAAGTACTGTCCCAGAACTTCGTGGGGTGGGGATGTTTTATTTTGTTTGTTTGTTTGGTTGGTTTGGTTTTTGTTTTCTCCTTTCTCATGCCTACAGGTCTTTTGCATCTATGGAAGGAAGGAAGAAGGCTAGACTCTTTTTCTCCCGGAGGAGGAGCACCCTCGTTCACCCACTGTCCTTCGGGAGCAAACTCTCTTGGGAGTGAGGCCAGGCCGAAGGACTGTGTGGTGAATAAGTCTCATGAGTTCAGACAGGCCTCCCCACTTCACCTCTGCACCTTGCCTGGCTGTGGGGGAAGATCGCGGATACTAGAGAGGTGCCGAGATTCTTTGCGGGCACCGCTTGCACACACCGACAACTAAGCTGCACAATTGTGTTCATCCTCATCCTCTGCACACCCTTTCCTCCCTGCCTGCAGCAGCACACACCCCCCGCGCGCGGACACAGGCACCCCTGAAGCTTCAACTTACCAGTTTAGATTTGGCGCGTTGCAAAAATTCTTCCATGCCTCTGCTAGGCACTGGGACCAGGGGTCCAGATGGTGAGCTCCAAGAGAGATGAGAGCAGCAGGGAGGAACAAGAATCTCCAAAAAAGTAATCGCTTGTTGGGGCTCAGGGACCAGCCGCTCCCTAGGCGGGCCGGTAGGGACTGAGCCCTTCTTGCTTCCTCCGGACTGCTGGCCCAGCCCACGCCCCGCAGCAGCTCCAGCTCCGACTCTCTCCTAATAAGGAAAGTGGGTGTGCCGCCCAGGAGCCCAGGGACTCCACGGGCCTGCTGGCATGCTCCTGGGGGGGGGGGGGGCCTGCTGCGGGGCTGGCAGTGGGGGTGGTGAGGGGCTCCTTGACCAATCGCAGGGCCCCGCGGTGGCCTCCTGATGCGGTGTGCTCAAAGATGCTGCAACCATGGACAGCGCCCAGAAGTGCACGCCAAGTGCCAGGGGCTGCTGCAGAGTGACACTGCTGCAGGCCCCACCGCCGTCAGCAAGGAAAGGTGGGAAGAGGGACACAGGCCCCAGGAGAGATCTTGTCCTCGGCTAGCGCCTCTTTGGCTGACTGGCACTGTACCAAGAGCCCAGTGGTCACTTAATGAACTGGTCTGCTGGCCTGGCCGGGATGCACTCAGAGAAATTGGCACTGGGAGGGGAAGGGGGCGGGGAGGAATTGCTGAGCTAAAAGCCATCCGACCTTGATGGCTAATAACCAGAAGAGCAGCCTGGAGGTTGTGTAGGCTGCAACTTTCCTCCCTAGCCTCCAAGCAGACTCATCCAGCAACCGATTGCCTCTGCTCAATGCATCTAGATGCCTTTCCACGGGTCCTGGGGCTAATGGATCCTTGTGCAGTCTCCATCTGCTCTTGAAAGCTGGGCACACAAACTAGCAGTTTCACAGGCTTACAGCATCAGCATCACCGAGCTTATTAGAAATGTACTTTCTGCCCCCACCCACTAAATAAGTGTCAGTTTCTACAAGATTCTCAGATATGTCTATGTACATTCAAGTTTAAGAAGCACAGCAATAAACATTTATATTTGCAGCCATGAGTTTATGTTATACCGTGGAGTTTTGGGTGCATTTATTAGTCTTAGCTCACCAGGCTCCTGGGTGGGGGTGGGGAGTGTGGGACTGCCTATAAGATCCCCAGGCCTTCTCCTCAGCCCTTGGTGCCTAACTTGATCTTTAGGCCTTAGCCCAGAGGTGTGTGTATCCAGCCTGCCTGTAGTCACAGTATACTAACCATAGGCTTCAAAACCCCTTAGACTGGGCCCTTTTTCAGTCCAACTAGATCAGCATCATGTGGTGTGAGGCCACAGCATTCCCCTGGTGTCAGTGTGCTGCCCATAAAGTGCAGCCATGAGGCTCCAAGTCTCAATGAACTCCAGGATATGCTTGAATCACTGACAGACTTAGTAGACATCCTAGGGGAGGCCTTACCTCTCCAAGGGGCAGATGGGAGGTGGGGGAGGTGGGGGGGGCTGGAGGAGCGGAGAGGAGGGAGGGGGAACTGGGATTGGAATGTAAAAAATAAATTAATTTTTTAAAAAAGGTTGCTGTACTGCATCCAGGATTTCAAGACTATGTGTGCTTAAGACTTTATATGTCTATCAGTCTCCCAAGGTTTGCAAAGGTGTCAGAACCAGGTACCACACTTTAAGAATGAAGTTTGTTATCCAGAATGCTTCCTGACACAGTCACCCACAGATTGAGTCACTGCCGTTCCCATGTTTTCTATTAGCTACTTACATTTTCTACCATGCTATAAGTTGCCTGATTGCATGTATATATCCTCCTCCAAGCTGTGAGCTCCATGAGGGCAAACGCCTCCCCTACCTCATTCATAGCTGGATCCCTAACAGGACATGAGTTACGTATCTCTCCATCCTCAGTTAAACAAATGTTTAACTGAAAAGATAGAGTGTGTGTGTGGTCCTCTCTGTCTGATACTGTATCTTCGTCACTTTCTCAATCCTTGTATGTGCTTACACACTTCCTGAACCAGTCATTTTTTTTATTCAGAAAGCACTAAAGAGATGAAATCAGCAGTCTTCAATCCAATTAGAGGCAAGTGGTAGGACTCTAAAGCCCTGGGGCGCATTCAGGTGATGAGCCCCGTGAAAGCCTCAGATCCTATCTGCTTTCTTTGCTGACTTTAGGAACTTAAAGCCACACAGATAAAATAGTGCAGACAATTCCATTAACACTATAGAGGAAAATCCGCAGAACTCTTTTTGCCTCTGGCTTCACTGGAGAATGTAGGGGATGTCACACAATACCATTTTATCCCTCTGACCTTTTTCTTTTTCCTTCTCTCCCTCTCCCCACCTCTTTCTTTTTCTTTTTAGACAGGAGTTCATTCTGCAGTCCAGGCTTGCCTGGAACTGTGTAACCCAGGCTAGCCTTGGATCCGTGCCAATCCTCAGTCCTCAGCCCCCTATTAGGACTGCAGGTGTATAGCCCTATGCCTGCTCTGCCTTTTGATGCACATTCTGGCCTTGAAATTACAAAACTTTTTCTGATGGTTTCAAATCTCAACATCTTTCTGACCCACTTTTTCCTCTGTTAATGGTTACTCTTTGAAAGTTTGCCAAAATTTCCCTCCTCATGAAGTTTCCCTGAGTTGACCACCCAAACTATTTTATTGAGACTGTGACTAAAATTCCCACAAACTCTGTGACTTGAAACAATATAAACCCCTTGTCTTACATCTCTGTAGGTTGGTAATCCAACACAAGTCTTGCTGGGCTAAAAGCATCTTCTCAATATGTTTGCATTCCTCCTGGAGGCTATAGAAAAAAATTCCATCTTTTCTGACTACTAGAAGATTCTGTATTCCTTGATGTGTAACCCCTTTCTTCATACTTAAAGCCAGCAACATTGCATTTCTGTGATGATTATTCCAGCTTTCTTCTCCTTTCTGTGCTGGGGACTGGACCCCAGGTTGCTCACACATGCTAAGCAAGTGCTCTACCACCAAGTCATATCTCTATGCTTTTCAAATATTTGACACAGGAATCTCACTAAGTTTCCCAGGCTGGCCTTGAACACTCTTGGTAGCTGGGCAGATCCTGAGTTTGTAATCTTCCTGCCTCAGTCTCCTGAGTATATGGGATTACAAGCCAGTATAACCAAGTGTTCTGGGATATCCTCTAAAGAAGACTGCTTGGACACAGATTTAAGCCAGTAGTCTTTATTAGCTGTCCAGCAACCACACTGGGTGTTCTGGATCCCAGCGGAGTCCCAAGTTTTTCTTAGGGTGCACTTTTAAGAACAAAAACATTATCCTGGGTTAATGTACTTCGATGAGCAAGAACTTCCTTTAGCATGCAAGAAGCCTTGGCTATGCTTGGGTTAATATGTCTAACTCAAGGTGCATGAAGCATAATCTAGACCTTCAGTAAACTCACAGGGTAGTCACTGCAGTTCAAGGCTAAGTGAAGCAGCTGAGAAGTGGATCAGTTTTGTTACTAGTTTTGATGCAACATAGTATGGCAACTGAAGTCTATAGCCTTATCCTTGATCTATGAGGTATACTAAATAAGGTTGGCAATTCTTTGACATTGCTGTTATGAGAAGTATGGTCTATATTCTCTCTCCCTGAATCTAGAACAACTCCATGACTCCACAAATCATTGAATATCCTGGAAGTGGCATCTTGTCCATTTCTAAGACTGGCAGCTTCTCCTTTTGCCTCTTGGAATACACACTCTTGGAGCCTTCCCCATGCTGTAAGGAAGCTAAAACCACCTGAAGGAGAGTCCCAAACACAGAGGAGCAGAGGCTGTAGTGAGAAGGTCAGTTGTTAGCTATATATGGGGAGTTGTCTCAGCTTCTGCAGCCCCAAGCATTCCAATGTGGAACAGAAATAAACAGTGCCTGCTGGGCTCTGCCCAAACTCTTGGCCACTTATGCACTAAGCAATTTTGAGCAAACTTTTTTTTTCAGTGCTTCAGTCCCTCCATTTATAAAGCTAGAAGAACCTTCCCCCTTATAGTCACTATATATCCCCCATGAAATCACAAAAGCAACCTGTCCTGCTCCTAGTCTGCAATGCCATCATTGCCCTTGCCCGGGGCTCCAGTAAGAACAGGAGGAATGGAAAGGAGGGTCTTCTGTGAAGCAAGGGAGTCACAGAGGCACTGCGAATGCACTGAAGTGACCTCATTGTGGCTCATGTCTGACCCCCACCACGTAACACCTCCTATGATTTTGCTCCCTTGAGCCTGGATTACACAGAGAGAAGTGTGTTTCCAGAAAGGCACCACAGGTGTTTCTCAACAGCAAGGCATCCAGCAGCACAGCTGGCTGGTGACATCTAAGTTTCTCAGGACCCGAGCTCGCGTCCTTCCCATTCTCAGTTACTCCTTCCCACCCCCACCAGGCACCTGCCCTTTCTTCACAGGCTCTCACAGGAACACTGTACCTACAGTCACCTCCGAGTATTTTTACTTCTATTGGTGCCGCTAGAAGGGCAGCTGGGTTTCTTTTCCAGGCCAGCTCCTTATTACCAGAAAAGAGGGTAGTGTGGACATCTCCTTGGTTAGAAACAACAACTGGTATGTGCTGTCCCTTTTAAAATGAAACTGAAGTAGCATGGCAGATGCTGAGTCACCGCTTGTGTGCATTTCTACCTCGCTGGCCGCCCCTCCCCCACCCAGGCTGTAGTCCCTTGGTACAGACTTGTTACCGGCTTTTAACTCATTCTTGTTGATACAGGTCAAGGAACTGCATCTCCCCTCCCGTTGAACTTGGTTAGAAAGACCTGGAGGCTTGCTTGAGGATGGGAAACAGAGTAGACAAAGGTGTCTTAACCTGTACCTTTTCTTCAGCTTCTCCCCATCTGGGAAATGCCTGCTTTTCACCCTTTGAATGGTCAGACAAATCATTGTGAAAGGAATTCATTTTTTAATGTGTTTTGACAAGAATGTTAAATTTTTAAAAGATGGGCTTTTTCAGACTTTATTTTAAAAGAAGAAATGCATATAGCTGTTACCTTCCATCTGTTAAGAAGGAAGAAAGGGGCCTTACTGGGCTTGTCAGATGATGGAACATCCTAGCTCTTTTGGGAGACTATCCTAAGAGTCAAATGTTCAAGCTTTGAACAGGGCACACAGCACTTGCGTCATTTCTGGGAAGCACGGATGTCTTATGAAGCAGTGAATTTAATTTGAAAGGACAGCAGAGAGGGCAAGTGCTCTGAGTCATCAGGACAATGGGCAGCGGCTGCCACTTTAAGATCTGTAGCTGTTGAAAAATAAGGCATACAGCAGTAAAGTCTCCCTTTCCCA